GGTTGACGTTTGACTACTAGATTAAAGTTCAATTGTTCTTTTGTGTCTACCGCTACTTGATGTTTGGACAAAAATAACATTGAGTGTAAAACATTCACGAGCTACTAGATTCAAATGTTAGTTTGCTTTTTGATGGGCAAAAACATAAATTTTTAAGAAAAACGAAATACTATCGTAAAAAGAATGTTTTTAGGATCTCAACAATAAAAGAAAATTATGGCATTCCATTAAAAAAAAAAAAGTTGAACGCCGCCATTTTGAAAGAATTCGTCCAATTGAAAATCTGGTATCACCATCGTTTAGAGAATGTTCTAAAACATATAACTGCCAAATATTTTGAAAGTAGTACCCATAGTGTGGCTAAAAAAAAGGCGCTTACTCTGAAACAGGTTGTATATTATTGCAGTTTCTACAATGGACGACGCACTCACTAGAAGAGCTTTATTCGCCGCGTGGCGAAGTGAACTAAACATTTCCAATAGAAACTATAGTGTCTACAGTTATACAATAAACAGATAAATACTGGAAGACTGAAGAAAGTGACTGACAGTTGTTGTGTGCAGGACAAAGTACACACAAGAGAAAATGTATAGGACGGACATGGGAAATGAACAACATGATGATGTATTCTTGTTCGTAATTTTATTGGTTCCGCATCAATTAAATCATAATGAAGCAATGAAATGGGAAAATCCACGCCCTTTGTCAATACGCTATTGTCGCCTAACAAAGTTATTGTTTCAGGAAGAAACTGCAGAACTAACTCGAACAGTAATTAGTAAAGTAGAAACAGAAATAAAAGTTCTTTCTCCGACACATATTATAAATGAAGGCAAAGACATATTCGTGGATCTTAAAATGGTGATGACAATGATAGACGGAAAGATCTGCAGTGTTATTGCACAAGAGTCATTTCAAAAGTGTTATATCTGTGGTGCAACACCTAAAGAAATGAATAACTTGGCTAGACACGCATCAACGCCTGTTGAGGAAGGGACATTCGATTTAAGGTTATCAAGTCTTCACGCGTGGATAAGATGCTTCAAAGGTCTGCTGCACATTCCCTACAGACTGAAGTTCAAACGTGGCAAGTGAGAAAAAAGGACCGGAAAAATGTGGACAAGCGAAAAAGATTAATTGAAGGTCGCTTTCGCAAGGAAATGGGCCTACTTATGGATATTCCCAGGATATAACCCTTAGGGTGCGTTTACGTTGGAGCTGCGATAAACGATAATAGCGGCGATACTAGCAAAACAACGAAATTGTTGTCATAGTTTTATATGCAGGTGTTTATATTGGAACGAGAGCTGCGATAAACGATAAGAGCTGCGCAAAATTCGTTTCTATGATATGCTGTTTATAGTGGAGCGTTGATCTGTTCTGGTGATTTTTATCTTTTTGATCTCACAATTGGGATCTAACAAAAATTTCACTAATTAAACAGTCGATATCCATGCCGACCACACATGATAATAGTAAAGAAAATAGGGAATACAATTAGCGTCGCTCTTATCGTTAGTCGGCTGTCAAGCATGTGACAACGCGTCGCTCCAATATAATAAACACCTGCATATAAATTATAATTATTAATATTATGTTTAGTAGTTTAAAAGGATAGGTTGAATATATAAATAGGGTCAAAACGTGCCCTATTATGAGTTAAACATATTCCCCAAATTTCATTTTCCTAGCGTTTATGGTTTTTGAAAAAAAAAATTAAACCAAAATTTTCCGCCATTATTGGAGGGGGGGGGGGTGTAGCTCCTAAGGGAAGCCGAAGTCGCCCATGGTTCATATATTAAAGTACCCTTAAAATTGCCTAAAGAATCACCCCCTGAAGTTTGGGCACATCATTCAGATACACCCTGTAAGGGTGTATTGTACAAGTGGTTCAAATTGGATGTCTGAATAGGCTAACTCGGAAACTATAAGAGTTAGAAGAAAAGTAGCTGACATGTCATGATCTCGTTTTTCGAGAAACTGCTAATGCCGAAAACCTCATAGCGCTATCGTCTTTTGTTTTTCCCCTAGAGGCCAAAATTGAAAATATCGTAAAACCAATAAGTGCAATTATCTTGGTTATTATTATAGGTGGAGTATTATAACTACGACATTATATGGACACTTTTTTACAGAGAATTTCATGACATAGTAAAAAAAAATTTTTCGGTTTTAGATTTTGAGATATCATTAGAATTTTCGTTTTTTTAAATGGAAACAACCACTGATTATTCGCTTATTAAATTCGTTATTTTTTTCTGATTACAAAAATATAGGGTTCGTTTTTTATTGTTTTAGAATAAAGCTAAAAATAATCTTTTTTTATAAAATTTCCATCCGGTGTCGTCGAGGAAATTAAATTTACAGTTTCCTGTAAGTTACGGGGCGGTAGGTAAAATCTAAAAAGTTAACTATTAAATACGAAGATAACTTTTGGTATTTAAAAACAAATAATTTTTTAATATGTAACATTCTAACATGTCAAACTTTTCAAAATTTTCGTAATTGATCTTAAAAACAGGATTTTTAAAGTGACACTTCAGAAAATTTTTGTATACAAACAAAAATTGCTGTTTATTTGAATTTAAAAAAAAAATAAAGTCCCTAGATTTACAAAGTACCGCGCTTTGCCGCCATTTTGGCTCGAAAATCAAGCGGGAAATTTAAAACTATCGTCGATCTATTGATAACATTACGGCAAAATTCCTTTCTTTTTTTGTCGTAGTACTCTGAAGAGTCGAAAGCCCTTCTTACTGCTATTTTTGCAACTCCAAAGGCAACAAGACAGCAATATTTTTGTAAATAAGTACCAAGTAAATAAAATATAATAAATATTTAGAGAAGAAGAGGCCTTTTTAGTCTTTATTAGTAAAAAAAATGTGAAATTTTAAGTAAATTTTTCCAATACCTGCAAAATTTTTAATTTTCCTTACATTTACCTGGATTGAGGTTCATATTCTTAGAAAATAAGTTATTAACCCAAAATGAAAAGCTTTTTGATATCAGATGAAAATTGAAATCGCTACACGTCCCGCAATTGGAGAACTCTAGGTACGACCGACGTCCAGCGGACATCAGTGCATAACTTTGTTATTTTTCGATAAAAGTATTCAAAAAAATTCACAAACGTTGTTCAAAATATAAACAAAATAGTGTCAAAATTTGATTAAATTCTAATTAATAGGGCACGGAACTTTTGTAACAAAACAATACGATTTCCCCCCTCCACTCGTTCTCAGTAGAAAATTTCATACAAAAGTTATTCTAAATTAAATTCTAAAACGATTTTCTCGATAAAAAAATGTATAAAAATATATATATAAAATTTTTTTTGAGGTTATGTTCTTAATTATTGATCAAATCAAAAAATTTTATTAACAATATTTGTTTAGAATTACTTCAGGAACAGTGTTTGTTAATACAATTTTTGGCTAACTTGAAATTTTAATTTCCCTCTGAATAGTATGCTATCAAAATTAATTATCTCAATAATTATTGTTTTTATCAAAAAATGTTTTAAATAAAATTTGTTTCAATTTCGATTTTGAATCAATTATCTTAATAAAAAAATTTTACATTTCTATTAATTAAGCATCCAAGTGTAATTATGTATAAAAACGGAAAAATTATTATTTTGAGGTTATCTCCTTAATTATTGATTAAATCAAAAAAAATTGTTGACAAAGTTTGTTTAGAATTGTTTCAGGAACAATTTTTGTTAACACAATTTTTTTCTAACTTGAAATTTTAATTTCCCACTGAACAGTATGCTACAAAAATTAATATTTTTGAGGTTATATCCTTATTGTTGATTTAATCAAAAAATGTTGTTAACAAAATTTGTTTAGAATTACTTCAGGAACAGTGTTTGTTAATACAATTTTTTGCTAACTTGAAATTTTAATTTCCCTCTGAATAGTATGCTATCAAAATTAATTATCTCAATAATTATTGTTTTTATCAAAAAATGTTTTAAATAAAATTTGTTTCAATTTCGATTTTGAATCAATTATCTTAATAAAAAATTTTTACATCTCTATTAATTAAGCATCTAAGTATAATTATGTATAAAAACGGAAAAATTATTATTTTGAGGTTATCTCCTTAATTATTGATTAAATCAAAAAAAATTGTTGACAAAGTTTGTTTAGAATTGTTTCAGGAACAATTTTTGTTAACACAATTTTTTTCTAACTTGAAATTTTAATTTCCCACTGAACAGTATGCTACAAAAATTAATATTTTTGAGGTTATATCCTTATTGTTGATTTAATCAAAAAGAAATGTTGACAAAGTTTGTTTAGAATTGTTTCAGGAACAATTTTTGTTAACACAATTTTTTTCTAACTTGAAATTTTAATTTCCCACTGAACAGTATGCTGTTCTTTTAATCAGAACGAGTGGAGGGGGGAAATCGTATCGTTTTATTACAAAAGTTCCGTGCCCTACTAATTAATTCTTCCCACCCAAAAACTCCTAAAAAATCAATGAAAATGAGACTCCAATGTGGTTTCCCCTCTTAATACACAAATAGCTATTTTATGTCAATAACTGTTAAAATATTGCTTTGAGGGAAAGCTAACTTATTAAATCGAATTCTACATAAAAAATTGCTTTGGAAATGTTTTCACAGAAAGGAAGATTTATCAATAAGAAAAAAGTTATGACGACTTTTCGAAAATGCACTTTTTTGAAAAACACCTGTATCTCTGAAACCGTAAAAAATATCGATATGCGGTTTTCGCCATTAACTTTCTTATAAAAATCGAGCCTCAGACACTGATATCATTTTTCCTCTATCTCTTATAGCCTTATAGGAACAAGAGTTTCCCTTTAAAAGTGTCCAATTTGACCTACCCCTGTATAAGGGAAAATTGTGTTTTTTAAGACCGGATATATCCGGTTTTGCACGCAAGCTCCTCAACTATGAAGTATTACCCTTTAAGGTAAGAGCAGCAAATGAACTGGCACTGAACGTGTTAAGTAATTAATTAACTCACCCCCGTGCATTGAATCAAGGAGAATTTTAAACGGCGGATTATGTTCTGAACCAGATAACAACCCTTTAAGCTTGTTAAAGTCGAAAATTTCCTTCATTAAATTGATGTAGTCTTGAGTTGAGTCAATCACTTCAACGATAAATTCATCATTTTCAACCTAAAAGTTTATTCCAATTAATAAATTCGATTTTAACGCGTTAATTAATTAATTACATCGAATTGATACACCCCTAATTTATCAATATCACATTTTAAATCGGCGCAAACTTTGTATTCTTTAATTTCTTTCGATAACTCATAAATTAAATTTGTTAAAGCATCCGGAGCTGGGCCTCCGTTATCTATGTTGTATTTAATCCCAAAATCGTTGTTTATTCCACCGGGGTTATGAGAAGCGGTCAAAACGATCCCACCTAAAAGAATTTTCAAAAATTATCAAAAAATTTGAGGTTAAGGAAGTGTCAAACCTAAAAGTTTGTAAGTTCTGATTATGTTTGAGACTGCCGGGGTTGATAATAACCCGTTTTGGCCCACCATAACCTTTTTAACCTACAAAGATAAATTAATTAAGTGATTTTAATTAATAAGATTTAATTACCCCATTTGCTGCACAAATTCTTAGGATTTTTTGGACTGCTTCTTTGGTGTAAAATCGGCCGTCTCCGCCAACCACGAGACTACACCCTTTTAATTTATCCCCCAATGAGGTTAAAACGCATTGAACGAAATTTTCGGTGTAATTCTCTTCCATAAAGACCTTCACTTTCTTCCGTAACCCACTCGTACCGGGTTTTTGGCCGGGAATTGGCTTTGTTGGAACCGTATTTTTCGTTAATTTCATTTTTAAGAAGTTTTTAACCTGGTTTAACACAAAATTTCGATTCAAAATAACCATAATTATTTTTTTTACATTTTTTTGATTACTAAAAAATTTTTGAGGTTATGTTACTTACTTTTCAAAATTTTTGACTGAATCCAACGTTTATTGTGCTACAATTAAAGGACGAATAAGTTATTTAAACGATTCTATTTATTATAAAAGATATGGAACGATTATTACGTTTTTTTAATAACAAAGTCGTTCGAAGGTCAATAAGGTCGCACTTAGAATTTATTTATAATTTTTGTAAGTGTTGCGAAGGAATTTAAGTAATTGATTTAATAACCCATTACAATTTTTTTTTGTAATTTACGATAAGAATTGTTTAAATAACTCATTATTAAAAAAAATAATAAAAATTATTTTGAGGTTATATTATTAATGACATTTTGGAGTTGCGTTAAGAGATGGCGCTTCGCTTTCAATCAAGTCCGTTGAGTAAAGACAAAATGTTTTTATTTCCACAGTGTATTCCACTTAAGAAGCAATATACAAAAATATAAAAATATATAAAAAAAAGAAAATAAAATTAAAAAATATTAAAATATAAAGTGAAATATTAACGGTTATAATTTTATTATTGTTAGGTTATCCAACTTGACTCGGTTACCATGGCGATTAAGATCCAAATATTGCAGGTGCTTGTCAAAATTGAAATTAAATTCAAGTTTTTTTAAGGGAAAAATCTTATTTAATTGGTTTAAAAGGCTGTATTTAACTCAAAATTGTTTATAATCCAGGGTATTATAAACAAGGTAAGTGGATTAAATCAAAAAGAGATATTTTTAATTTATTTCTCTTAATTAGAATCGATTTAAATTAACTACAATGAACGAATTTGTTATGAATCCGAGGTAATCGTAAAAAATTCGAATTGTTTTAAAATTAATAAAAGTTATGTTAGAATTGATAAAAAAATGGGAATAAAATTTTATTAATTTAAGGTTATCCAACATGACTCGGTTACCATGGTGATTAAGATCTAAATATTACAGTTGCTTGTCAAAATTGACGTTGAATTTAATTTTTTTTAGTGAAAAACACATAATTAATTAGATTTAAAGGTTGTATTTAATTCAAAATGGGTGTATGGATGAAATTATAAGCAAGGTAAGTGGTTTAAATAAAAAAAAATTTTTTTAAGATCAATTAAAACGTACAAGAATTTAGGGTTAAATAACAATTAAAACTAGAACTAACACTAGACCTAGAACTAGAAAGTTTTAGGTTTAGTTGGGCGTCTTAGACAAGAACTTAGAAAAGTCTGAAAAACGCACGGCTAAACCAGAATATATCTAGTTCTAGATCTAGTGTTAGTTCTAGTTGTACACTATCACTAGAACTAACACAAAACCTAGAACTAGAAACAGTCGGGTTTAGTCGTGAAAACCCTGTTGTTAATGTCAACTTTAATTTTATTATTATATTCGTAATCTTCATAAAATAACCTTTATCGCCAACCGGCAGCAAAACCATACTTTATGCTATCCATTTGCGGCAGTGAAGTGACACTTTGTGCTACTATCTAGTAAACTGTACATTTAGCGGCAGGTAATAGTATATTAAAAAACAAGTTTCGTAAGACATGCTTGAAACGCACGAATTCAAGTTAAAAAACGAGTGGCGAAGCCACGAGTTTTTTAATGAATGAGTGCTTTAAGTCTTATGAAACGTGTTTTTTATGCTATTTTTTGTAATTTTTGTATTAGAATAAAGCTCCAAAATATCGTTCCTCAAATACGGTGCCATGGCAAGAAAGTATCGCCATTTTTAATCACTAAATGTAAACAAGACCAGATTCAACGTGTTTCAGGAATTTATGTCATTGAAAGTGAAATAGCCTGGTGCACCCAAGCAGTTATAAGAAAGTGGGTTGATTTTATGCTGCCACCACTGTTGAGGGGTCAGAATAGAGGTTTACTAGTTTGGGATTCAGCCAGTACTCACCGCGCCAAAGACATGAAAAACTTTCTTGCTGAGAGGAAGACTGATCAAATAATGATTCCGGCAGGAATGATTGGTTACCTTCAGACACTTGACATTGCAATAAACAAGCTATTCAAGGATCATTTGCGGATGGAAATCAATGAATATATTGAAAACAGAATGGTGAGAAATCATCGAGGTAATTTTGTAAAACCAGGCTTACAAGAAGTTGGGTAAAAAATTCATAGGACAAAATAACTGATAATGATGTTTCCAATGCATTACGAAGAGGCTACTTAGACAAGAAGTATTTATTTAACGATAGCTATATCGCAAGACATGGACCAATGATTCAACAGGAAATGGATTTGGAAGAAAATCAGAATATAATTCAGAATTTTATTTATGACGATGTTCCAGAAGAAGATGACATGACTGTAATTGAATAAATTTAAATTTCTGTATTCTGTGTAAAATAAATATTAAATAAAAATATATAAATATACTTTTATTTTTGCCCTCCCCCGAAAATAAGCCCTAGCGCATATTTTGGACCAAAAAAGAAAGTAAGACAGTGTCTTATTTTCGGAAAAAGACGGTAGTAACGTTCTGTAACGGGTATTTTAAAATCGCGTGGAAGCGGTACGCTCCTCAAAAATACCATTCCTCAAATACCGTCCTATCACTAGTAATGAGATTTTAGTAACATTTCATGGAACCAGTTCAAGTTGGTGACATTGGATCATTAAATTTTCTAGTTGTCAATGTAACAATTTTTGTCTATGGATGTTTAAACACGTTCTTAGCATCGAATACAAGGTCCACAATGATGACGACATTGAACTCTGAGCAATTTCTCTTCTTTTGGGAGATGTACAGGGTGGTTCAAATTCGATGTCCGAATAAGCTATTTCAGAAACTATAAGAGTTAGAAAAAAAGTAGCTTACATGTCATGATCTCGTTTTTCGAGAAACTGCTAATGCCTAAAACCTCATAACGCTATTGTCTTTTGTTTTTCCTCTAGAGGCCAAAATTGAAAATATTGTAAAACCAGCAAGTGCAATTATCTTGGTTATTACTATAGGTGGAGTATTATAATTAAGACATTATATGATCAAAAAAAAATTTCGGTTTTAGATTTTCAGATATTATGACAATTTTCGTTTTTTTAAATGGAAACAATCACTGATTATTCGCTTATTAAATTCGTTGTTTTTTTCTGATTACAAAAATATGGGGTTAGATAGGTCTATTTCTTATTGTTTTAGAATAAAGCTAAAAATAAACTGTTTTTTTAGTGTCGTCAAAGAAATTACATTTACAGTTTCCTGTAAATTACGGTACTATAACTAAAAACTATTCTACTAAAAATTTATATAAAATTTACTTTATTTTCTAATATGTAACATTCTAACATGTTAAATTTTTCGTAATTTTCGTAATCCATCTTAAAAAACAGGATTTTTAATTTGACACCTCAGAAAATTTCTGAATACGTATAAATGTTGTCATGTTTATTTGAATTAAATAAAAAATATATGACCGCCATCTATCAATAATTTATTAAGTCATTTAATAATATTAAATGTTAAAAAATGTGAAATAATGCAATCTATCCAACTTTTGTGTAAAACAAATATAAATTAAATAGTTCAACAAATGTATTTGTTTCAAATATCAGAAGAGCATCTATCAATAATTTATTAAGTCATTTAATAATAACATTAAATATTAATAAAAAATGTCAAATGAAATAAATAGTTATTTACGTAACCAGTTATGAAAAGACTAATTTTAGCCGTTTCATAACGTGTTAACAAAATTTTATCTAATTCCATTGAAAAAGCAATTTTTGTTCAAAACTTGACTTATTCTATTAGTGACAGATGTCAATTTATCAATTTGTAGTTAGGTAATGGAATTCATTACATCACTAGTTATAAAAAAGTGACGTTACAAAACGTCAGATAGACATGTAAAATTTAATTTTTATAACGGAATTAGATAAAATAATAATAATGTTAATGAATTCTGTTTGTCTTAGATTGTCCTTTACTATTTAAATGAGTTTCTAAAAATTTTTCGCCGTCATGTTGAACAGTAGACTTTATATTACATACATTACATTTAGCTGTAAACTGATCTATTTTAACCAACCAACATTTATATAGTGGATTTTGTTTCAACGAATCTTGAAAATGTGTTGCGTACTTAACTTGTTTATTTTTATGAATGGATTCCGATGATGAAGTACTTGTACTCGAATTGTCTCTTTTATTACTCTCATTCATGGCGAATCAAAAAATAATAGATAACCAAATAACTTCTATGATATATAACTAACAAAACACAACACAAAAAACTGTACTAAACACTTTACGGTTATAGATCGCAATAGCAACAGTAAAACAAGTAGTTCAACATTCGGCACAAAGAGAATAGGTGAATCCCCTAAATCTCCTAATACCGTTTCGATTACTAGGTGGAGTGCTGACGGTAAATTTAAAACTTTTATTAGATTTAACATAAATATGTCTGTTAAAAATATTGTATTTATTTAGTTTATGGTAGAAAGTGTTTACATTTTCTATAATTTTCCCTTTGACCCATTGACCCTTCTCTAGCTTTGGTAAATCGTGTATCCAACCACGGGTTATTTAAATGGAGGATTTTTCCTGGCGTGAGAATTATTTTAGGCCTTTTTATTTTTTTGTGAAATGGCTCTTATACCCGGAGAAAATATCTAACAAACCAGTGACCATATGTCAAAACCCAGAGTCTCTGGTTCAAACCCAGAGAGGTGGCATCCCTAGACAGGCACCAAACAATTTTCAATAGTTTGAGCCTGTCTATTCTAAAAAGTCTTATATTTTAGAGAGATTAAAACGAAAATCCGTTTTTCTCAACATTATTCATTTGTTGGTTAGTCAAGTGATGCATAACGCGGTCTAATTATCTTTTAAACAGAAGAGTTAATTGCAATGAATCCGGTACATACATATTCATATATGAATGTAGGAGGTGACTGTATCAATTATTGACAAAATTTAAATTTTCATTTTTGTTTAATTGTTTTTTGGATTATAAATAGTTTTAAAATTACACAGGAAAAAATCGTGTCGTGTAAAAATTTTAGAGTAGTTGGTAAAAAGAATTAGAGTAAAAATTGTAATATCACATGGTAAAAATAACTCTAATGTACACTATATTTAATATTAATATAGAGTTCATATATTATTCACTTAATAGAGTAGTTTTTACAGTTCTCTAAAGGAGAGTTCTTTTTTACTTATGTTAGTGAAGTTATGTAATATATAAAACATTAAATTTTACACTAGACGTGTACTTTTCCTTCGGGTACTTCGTAGGCACCGCACTATTTTGCTCGGGATTACTCGT